CATCTTTATTTAATATCTAGGCCAAATTAAGACATGAATAGTCTTTTGAAAATGGGGATTATGTGGGCATGTGATTACTGAATGCTGGGATCCCCAGCCTTTTCTCCTCACTGGTCTCCTACTGCTGTGGCACCCAAACTTTTACTCACCAACCTGAAATTGTAGAAGATTATTTTCTGAAGCATCTGATCTTTCCCAAGAAATAGGCATAAGTTATGTAACAAATTGCCTATGCAGATTACCGTAAATTGAATCTCAAAGTCTAAAAGTCTTCCGAGCCATGTGTGGTGCTAGAGATAGAACCCAGGACCTCACACCTGCCAGGTGAGCCATCTGGTAGTCCTGAGCCACACTTCCAACCAGACCCCATCCTGATCATAAGCAGACCTCCAGTGGTTTTCCTGCATCTGAGAAAAGCCTCTGAACGTGGTTTTATACATCAAAACAAACACAAAACCCAACTCTTAATGGACTTTACAAGAATATGAAATTTTAAAACAAGTGCTAATAGATTTAAGTAGATACTGCATCCATGAAGCAACAACACACATCCTCATAATAAACTTCAGAAAATAAACCTCTTCAATATTAAAAACATGAGAGCAGAAATAAAGAGAAGGGTTGGAAAAGAAAATTATTGAGGAGACCTCACATCACAGAAGAAGAGAAAAATAGGGAAATGGAAAATCATCCTAAGAGGTTCAGGATCCAAACCTTGGAGAAGGGAGTCATCCACAAAGTATTTAAGAAAAATTCCCAGAACTGAGGCATATGGTTTACAAAGTGAGCACATCCAAATACCCAGCAAAAGGGATCAAAACAGATCCATCCCAGATTGAAACTAAAAAGCTTCTTCTCAGCAAAACAAACAATCAATGAGGTGAGTAGAGAGCCTACATCTCAGGAGCAAATTTTTACCACTCGCACATCAGATAGAGCACTAATCTCTAGGGTATATAAAGAATTCAAAAAGCTAAACACCAAAAAAACAGCCCAATCAATAAATGGGCCAAGGAACTGAACAGACACCTCAAAGAAGATGATATGCAATCAATCAACAAATATATGAAAAAATGTTGAACATTTCTAGCAATTAGAGAAATGCAAATCAAGTCAAAACTAAGATTTCATCTCACTCCATTCAGAATGGCAGCTATTAAGAACACAACAATAAGTGTCGGCGAGGATGTGGGGGAAAGAGCACACTCATACATTGTGGTAGGACTGCAAATTGGTGCAGCCAATATGAAAAGCAGTAAGGAGATTCCTTGGAAAGCTGGGAATAGAACCACCATTTGACCCAACTATCCCACTCCTAGGTCTATACCCAAAGGACTTAAAAACAGCATACTACAAAGACACAGCCACATCAATGTTTTTAGCAGCACAATTCACAATAGCTAAACTGGAACCGACCTAGATGCCCTTCAGTAGTTGAATGGATAAAGAAAATGTGGCATATATACACAATGGAATATTACTCAGCAATAAAAGAATAAAATCATGGCATTTGCAGGTTAATGGATGGCCTTGGAGAAGATAATGCTAAGTGAAGTTAGCCAATCCCAAAAAACTAAATGCCAATGCCGAATGTTTTCTCTGATATAAAGAGGCTGATTCATAAAGGGGTTGGGAGGGGGATCATGGGAGGAATAAAGAAATTCTAGATAGGGCAGGGGGTGAGAGGGGAAGGGAGTGCGCATGGGGTTAGAAATGGTAGTGGAATGAGGGAATATTACTCACTTGGTATAGTGCTTGCATGCATAAGGCCCTGGGTCTAATCCCTAGCACCACAAAAAAACAAAAAAGTGGAATGAGATGGATATCATTACCCTAAGTAAATGTATGAAGACACAAATTGGGTGTCTTGTAGGGGCTGGGGTTGTAGCTCAATGTTTGAGCACTTGTAGGGGCTGGGGTTGTAGCTCAATGTTTGAGCACTTGCCTCGGGTGCATGAGGCACTGGGTTCAATCCTCAGCACCACATTAAAAAATAAATAGGGGCTGGGGATGTGGCTCAAGCGGTGGTGTGCTTGCCTGGCATGCATGCGACCTGGGTTTGATCTTCAGCACCACATACAAAGATGTTGTGTCCGCAGAAAACTAAAAAAATAAATATTAAAAAATGTTTTTAAATAATAATAAATAAATAAAGATATTGTGTCCATCTACAACTAAAAAAAAATATGAAATGTGTGTGTATAGGGCTGGGGGTGTGGCTCAAGTGGTATCGTGCTCGCCTGGTATGCGTGCGGCCCGGGTTCGATCCTCAGCACCACATACAAACAAAGATGTTGTGTCTGCCGAAAACTAAAAAAAATAAAGAAAGAAAGAAAGAAATATGTGTGCACACACACACATACTTTGTATACAACCAAAGATATAAAAAATTGTGCTCTGTATGTATAATATGAATTGAAATGCATTCTGCTGTCATATATAGCTAATTAGAATTTTTAAAAATAAAAGAATGACCTAAGCTGAGAAGCCTCTGTATTAGTCCACCCACAAAAAAAAAAAAAAAATCCATCCCAAGGCACACTATCATGAAATTTAGTAGTCTCAGATCAAAGACCATCCTGTGAGCATCCATAGGGAGGACAAATCATATAAAAAGCTTCAGACTTCAACACCTCCAAAACCACAACTCAACCTAGAATATAAACTCAGACCTGGTCTCTTTGTTTCTGTTCACTCAAGAATCCGAAGTGGCGTGATGCACAACTATAACCCCAGAGGCTTAGGAGGCTGAGGCAGGAGATTTTTGAGTTCAAACCCAGCCTTAGCAAAAGTGAAGCACTAAGCAACTCAGTGAGACTATGTCTCTAAATAAAATGCAAAAAAGGGCTGGGGATGTGGCTCAGTGGTCGAGTGCCCCTTCAATCCCCGGTACCAAAAAGTAAAAAGGGCTAGGAATGTTCAGTGGTAAAGCACCCCTGGGTTCATTCTAGGGTGCCACCAAAAAAAAAAGAAAGAAAGAAAAGAAAAAAATTATTGGATGCAAAAGAATAGAAAAATGGTTTTTCCAAATTCTGAGGAAATCTTTCTACCAGCCTATAACTAGACCCATGCAAAATATCATTCAAGTATAGGGGCAGAAGTAAAGACATCTTTGGACATGCAAGATCTCAAAACAGGGGGCTGGGAATGTGGCTCAAGCTCTAGCATGCTCGCCTACCACATGCGTGCAGCCCGGGTTCGATCCTCAGCACCACATACAAACAAAGATGTTGTGTCCGCCGAAAACTAAAAAATACATAATAAAAAATTCTCTCTCTCTCTCAAAAAAAAAAAAAAAAAAAGATCTCAAAACAGTTTACCCTCTGTATACCTTTCTCAGGAAGCTATGAGTGAGCCTAATGGGGGCACATGCCTGTAGTGTCAGCAACTTAGCAAGATGCTGACTCAAAAAGGACTGAGTACATAGCTCAGTGGTAGAGCACCCTAGGTTCAATCCTCAGTACCACACACAAAAAAAGTTGCTCTGAAAATACAGAAAGCTTCCAGAAACAAATGCATAGTTATATGGGCAGATGCTTTAGAGGTCAAGAATGAGAGCTAGGTGTCTGAACAAGAACTAGAGAAACCAGGCTCTACCAATGCCCATGTCCCAGTATACAGAGAATGCCAGACACCAGCAATCACAGAACTCTCCCCTCTGCCTGGATCATTGCAACAAGTGTCTCCCTTGTGGCCTTCAAATCCAAAATCACCCACCCCCAAGATCCATCTAAAGTATGTATCTCAGAGTGAACTGCCCTCCTACAGGCTGGAGACCATGCTGCCCACTGGCGATCTCCAGATGGTACCCTGCCTCCCTGCAGGCCTCTTTCCACACTGCCCCTGGCCTCCCAACTGCCTCTGGCCACACCAGCTTCTCATCTTGACACCTTTGCACTTGCAGTCTCCTCCATCCAGTATGCCCTTCTGCTGAGCCCCCCCCCCCCTATACTGCACAACTGTCTCGGGTGTCATTTGCCATCAGTAAGCCTTCTCTGGGCCTCACTGTGCCCTCATAACACCTTGAGCCTCTTTTTGTCATTGCACTTAAGTCAGAGTTACCTATTCCTAGGTCTGTCTTCCTACAGTGAGCTCCCAAACTGAGAGAGCAAGAACTGGGCCTTATGGATCTTTGACTCCCCAGACCTAGCAAAGCCCCCGGCACCTTGTAAACTGGGTTGGTGTTGCTGAATACAGGGTGAACAAAACATCTTGCCTCTGAGAGGGAACATCAGGCATTAGCGATGCCTACTCTCTTCTTTCAAATTATTTTCACCTCATAAGTTATTTTGGAATGTTTGAAATCTTATTTTTATAAAGAAAAAATTTAGACATTTTTATAATAAAAATCCATTATTGACCAGACGTGGTGGCACACGCCCGTAATCCTAGCAACTCAGGAGTCTGAGGCAGGAGGCTTGCAAGTCCAAAGCCAGACTCAGCAACAGGCGCTAAGCAACTCAGTGAGGCCCTATCTCTAAATAAAATACAAAAAAACAGGGCTGACGATGTGGCTCAGTGACCATGAATTCAATCCTTAGTACCCAAAAGTAAAATAAAACATAAGTACTAGGAATGTGACTCAGTGGTTAAGTGCCCCTGAGTTCAATCCCTGGTACCAAAAAAAAAAAAAAAATCTATTAGTAGAGCTGGCTTAGTGGTATAGCACTTGTAGTATGCACAAGACCCTGGGTTGAATGTCCCAGTACTAAAAAGAAAAAAAAAAAAAAGATTATTTTTTCCCATTCATCTTATACCTCCACCAACTTCTAGAAATTGAGGCAACCTAGAAAGAAAAATAGTAAACTATAGCCAGATATAGTAGCACCCACCTGTAATCCCAGCTACTTGGGAAGCTGAGGGAGGCGGATGGACAATTTGAAGTAAGCCTGGTCAATTTCCTGACAACCTGTCTTGAAAAAAAAAAAAAAAAGTTATTAAACCACTCCCCGCCATTGCCATTTGCTCAAGTAACAGTCCTGCTGTGTCTTATTTTCCAGACTGAGTCAAGTGGCTCCCTCTGCCGGCTTTCAAGGCTAGGAAGGCCAGTGTTCCCCTTTCCATCTCCTGGTGGGAAGTGTCAAGGGAGAGGCTTTTGGAAATGACTGATTCAATAGTGTCTGCCCTGAATGGTAAGAGCATTTAACTAGAAGTCCTGTCTCACTAGAAACAAGGTTCTATCTCTTCAGTTCCTAAGATACTGAGCTCTATTTATGTCTTCTTTTGAGATTCATGCCCCCAACTACAAATCTCCAGGGATGTGCCATTCAGAACTCCTTTGATTCAAGTACTGGGAACCCACCACCATTAGCCTGAATAAAAAAGGGATTATAGGCTCCCACAGCCAGACCCTGGGTTGAATTTCCCAGTAATGCCAAAAAAAAAAAAAATGATTATTTATTTTCGTCTTACACCTCCATCAACTTCCAGAAATTGAGGCAACCAAAAATAATAAATAAATAAATAAACTATAGCCAGATATACTAGCATCAGCCCCTCCTAAAAGGGTGGTTGTAACCCTGCTGTAATGAGACTAGGAGGAATCACAGACCACACCCAGTGCAACAGAGAATTCAGACCAGCTTGAGCCCTGTGTACCAGGCATTTCCCATATTTCACCTAAATTAACCTCCCAAAGACCCACAGGTGGTAAATGCTGTTGTCCTCATGTAACTGACAGGAGAGACAAGGCCAGGGCAGTGCCTGGGTGTGAGCCGAGGCTTTTCAGTTCTGGGCCCTTTGATACAGGGTGATACAGACGGTAGAAGTAAGTATGAGCCAGACACGATGATCCCAGCCACTCAGAGGCTGAGGCAGAAGAGTCATAAATTCCATCCAGCCTCACAATTTTGTAAGACCCTACCTCAAAATAACAAGTAAAGGGCTGGGGATGTGGCTCAGTGATAGAGTGCTTCCCTAGCAATGTACTAGGCCCTGGGTTTAACTCCCAGCACCACAAAAGATAAAATCATAAATAATTAGAAATTTGTTTTTCAGACACAGTCTCACTGTGCAGCTCACACTGGTCGCAAATTCACAAGCTTGAGCAATCCTCCTCCCTCAGCCTCCTGAGTAGCTGCGACTGCAGGTGCTCACCACTTCACCCAGCAGCAGAAGTTGGTGACTTATAGGGCACTGACACTATTGATATGTTTGGCTTACTGGTGTCTCCACATGCACACAGCCCTTCAGTGCAGGAATGTACCCAAGTGCCTGGGCGGGAGCAGTTGTCACCAGCTATGCCCTCATATGATCCAGTGAGTTGTTTTTCATACAACTTGGTCCCAAAATCCAGTTGACCAGCCCACCTGGTGCTTGGAGAAGAACATACACCAGTACCAGCTCACACCTGCAAAGAGGCCTCCTGTCGGCCCCAGTAAGACACCTCCCTAAGGGGCTTTCCCCCTTGTTTCAAGTTTCCCTGAGCCACTGTCTTTGGAGCCCAGCCAGAACTGTAGTCCACCCATACAGCTGTGCTGCAGTTGGCTGCATCATCAAAATAGGTCTGTATGGAGGCTGGAAAAAATAAGGATTCCGTTCCAGTTTTTGTTGTGGGTCCATCCAAGAGTCTCAGATGACAGCAAAAATACCACTGGGTTGGAGGATTAGGCCATAGAATATCCTTAAAGAAATCCAGCTCCATGCCAGGCTGATGGTGCCTGTAATCCTAGTGACTAGAGAAGCTGAGACAGGAAGATCACAAGTTCAAGGCCAGTCTCAGCAATTTAGCAAGACCCTTTGTGGATGTGACTTAGTGGTACAGCATCTCTGGGTTCAATCCCTAATGCTAAATAAATAATAAATTAAAATTAAATAATTAAAAATTTTAAATATATATCCAGCCCCCTTTTCTCAGTCTGCCTTTCAGAGCCTTGTTCAGTTTCCCAAGTCGGCTTTCCAAGCAGCAGGAGAGCAGACTGTATTTTACCCCATTCCACAGCCATGGGGACACATTTGACAGCCAGGGCTTCTGCAATCCATCACCCACTAGCTCTTCCTCAGGTTTCACCTACAGATTATTCCCCACCTGTGTGTTAGGCTTGGAAGTCCAGAAGGCCCTGTTCCCAGCCGAGCGAGCATTTGTTCACTGGGCCACAGGAGGCCCGAGCCTCTGTGTCTGAACCCACCACTGCACTCTTCTCTGAAAACTGCTCTCCCAGACAGTGACTTTGTTGCCAAACAAAGGGACAGAGCTGTGGATCTGCAAGTGTTCATGTTGTTTAGGCTGACTAATGGTGAGTGGACAAGACTTAAAACTGCTAGTCTAAACATTTCTTTGTTTTTTGTTTTTGTTTGGTATTGGGGATTGAATCCAGGGACACTTACCATTGAGCCACATCCCCAAATATTTCTTTTTTTTTTTTTTTTTTTTTTTTTTTTTTTAGAATTTCAATATTTATTTTTCAGTTTTCGGCGGACGAAACATCTTTGTTTGTATGTGGTGCTGAGGCTCGAACCCGGGCCACACTGCATGCCAGGCGAGCGCGCTACTGCTTGAGCCACATCCCCAGCCCCATTTCTTTGTTTTTTGTTTTTGTTTGGTATTGGGGATTGAATCCAGGGACACTTACCATTGAGCCACATCCCCAAATATTTCTTTTTTTTTTTTTTTTTTTTTTTAGAGACAGGGTCTCACTGAGTTGCTCAGGGCCTCACCAAATTGCTGAGGCTGGCTCTGAACTCTCAATCCTCCTGCCTCAGCCTCCCGAGCTTCTGGGGTTATAGATGTGCACCACAGTGTCTGGCTAATCTAAACATTTCTAGTTCAAGTTGACCATCCCTCCGACCAACCCTTGGCAAAGGTCACAGTACATTGAGACAGTGTCATTATCTTTTTGTGTATTCTCTGCTTATTTATTGCACTGACATCCCACTAGTGCCCACACAGTGCCCAAGAGGGTCCTAGATCCCTGCCTGGAGTGCATTTGGCAAATCACCACAACATGGTTCAACAGCCCACCTATAAAAGGTGTCAAGGGGGCCACAGTGGAAAGGTAGTACTTTCCCTGAGCCTCCAGAAAGGTGGCTTGTGGCTACACCTTGACCACCCACTCATGGAGAGGATCTAAGCAAAGGAGAAAAAGGTGGGCAGAGATTGGAGTGACCAGCTCTTAGGAGAGTGGTGATGGCAAATGAGTGGGGAGATGTGGGAACAGTCCAGGCAGTAGGTAGGTGCTAGAATTATCATTCCCCCACCCATACTGGGCGTTGACCAAGGGCGATCTACCACTGATAGACCCAACCTGATCTTTTCTTAAAATTGGAAGCCATCTCACCATAAAGCCATGAAAAGCTAATTTCGGCTTTACTATAAATTACTGCAAATTCTGAACCTGCTTGGAATGCCTGCCCATGCCTTGAACTCACCCATGCCTGGCTCTCTGATCAGATAGCAGCCCTCTCTAAAACTTTACTGACGCCTCACAAATCTTGGCCTTCCCTGGCCAGATAACAACCCTCTCTGAGGCTCTAATGACCTTCATAAATTCTGATGTTGGGGCCTGCAAAAATGTAAACTACCATTAGTGTCATGCTCCTCGGAGTTTTGTTATCTGTAACCCCCCTTTGTGTAACTTTCTGGGCTATAAAGCTGGGCTGCAGGAAAGATGCAGCTGCTGTCTTGTTCCTGTGGTTTTGGGTGGGAGAGGCAGCCCGGCCTGTCGAAATAATAAGCTTGCTTTAATTGGAGTCAGTGGTCTTTTCTTGTGTCCTGGTCTAACACCACTGCGCTATAACTCTAGACCTTTTATTTTGTATTTTGACATAGGGTCTTGATGAGCTACTGAGGCTGGCCTTGAACTTTTGATCCTCCTCCCTCAGCCTCCAGAGCTGCTGGTTTACAGGTGTGTACCACCACACCCAGCACATTATTATTCTTACTTTTTTTTTTTTTTTTTTTTTTTTTAGTGAGTGAGAAGTGAGAGAGAATTTTTTAATATTTATTTTTTAGTTTTCAGCGGACATAACATCTTT